ATTAAGCCAACTATCAAGTTCGGCGGGTAGATCATCTACCACGTGATCAACGACAAATTATTACCTACAAGTGACGCGCACGACCATGTGGTGACAGTGCTAGTCAGCTGTCATAGAAAACAGGCACTGTACGAACAATGATGAAGAACCGCCTTACCAATGAACAACTCGTCAAATTGTTTTTAACGATGAAGCTCGATCTGAAGTTACTTCGCGCCGGCTAAGATTTAAAACCTCGGGCTTTTGGCAGATGACGTTCAATTGCCTTTTTATGTCTACTTGACAATAATAGAAAAATTCAGTAGCTGTTTGAAATTGATTTATAGAAGCTGAGTTTTGACTAGCTGGTGTTTGGCTGTGAAGGTCAAGGCTTTATTTCAGTCAATATTGAAAGGGTTGGACTTCGATGACCCATGAAAATAAATGGCCCACTATAGAATAACTGGTTCTGACGAGGAAACGAAGCCCCACGATTTTGGGAGATAGTTACTATCAAAGGAGATCGACAGTTCCCAACTATAGACATTGATGTTCTTTATTCTCTAAGTAACTTATTTTGTAATCTGCATTGAATTGAGGGTTGATTTTAGTCAGACAGTTGTTGATGCTCTTCTGTGCTGCAAGTACCAATAAATCATGCCGCGTTTGTAGTCATGCGCGGTACTAACTTGTCAGCAGTCATTAATCCATCAACTTCATTTTTTGTCTGGAATCGCCTCATGTCATTTGAAGATGATTAAGTCAGACCTTCATCATGGAATCATTACTGATGATCAGATTTACCGTTAAGTTTATCGTTCATATCTAAGTCCTCTTGTTGGAAGCACCGCACGAGGTAGATCGCCGAATACAAAAGTCACCGCCCTCCCGCCTGTTCTCCGACAACTTGTAATTTGCCTTAAACCCTTCAATGTCCACGCGAAGCTAGAGATTTTAGGAGGATCAGCTGATACTAGAAGGAAAACGGCATAGCCCTGCAGCCAGCGCAAATTCTCCTTTATTCAGACATTTTACTACAGTCCCACGATTCCATTTTCCGTATATGATGTCAAGTTGCACGGAGTTTCGTGGGTTTAGATAGAACACGAAACACTGGAAAAAGCAGCCGTAGGAGAAAGTGGGTGAATAATGTTGGTGAAACTTGTACAGGGTGTTACGCATCCCTTAACTTATGGTTGTAAGTGTTGGGAAAACGGTTCGTCAGTACCATGCTATTTCCATCGGACTTTATGGGCTTATAAATATGGGCATCGTTCCCGAATTCATCATTCTGTAGGAGCACTGTGTTGAGTCTATACCCAGAATAAGAGTCATAGAACAGTCTAGCCATCCCTCGCAGACGGATCCAACCTGTACTGTGTTTCCGTTTTTAACGTTCATGTTGGTCTGCAACCTTGCTATCAAGTGTATGCATGAGCTTGCATATCAGCGCTACCTGAGGAGACTGAAAGCTGACCAAGCTGACCAATGACTTCTCAATCGGTTCCAAACTCCAACTGACGCATATCAGCGCTACCTGAGGAGACTGAAAGCTGACCAAGCTGACCAATGACTTCTCAATCGGTTCCAAACTTTTTCCAACTGACTGACCAATGTTTTGTTTTGAAGCTCGATAAATTGCCCGCAGGCCAAAAGTAAGACCTATATAACCTGAGAAATCCTAACATCAGCATGTGCTGAACGAGTCTTCTATGTTGTGGCTTACGTAACATGTCATCTCCCATGGATTTGCTTGCTAAAACTACCAAACATAAAACAAGCATTCAGATAAGTCGAGGCACGGGAATTTCATCCAAAACCTATGGGGTTAGTCTGTTCATGTTTTGAAATCTCTGCTGAAGCTGCGGAATTGTCATGGGAGTGCTGAGAGTACTGTATATAAAGTGTGAGATTTCGCTCCTGGAGAGGAGATCTGTATTATACCACAGACGGAAAGATCCTTTACATCAGGAGAAACTTGTGTAACATTTATTGCACCAGTGTTATCCTAGAGCGCATCAGATTCTTCATATACGACAGATGAACTCAAGATTTTGAGTTGATCGTCAAGTCAGTCGGAAAATACAATCAATTGTCACACAGAATTTCAGTGTACGGAAAATCACTATGGATATTCGGCTAATGCAGTCATCTTCATATCAAGTTGGTTTTCGAGGGAGACTTAGCTGAATCTATTGTTCATATTTTTTTCAACTGAGTGTGCCGCACTAGGCAGCCTCAAGTTTCACCTGGTAGGATATTCAAGATACCACAACTACTTGTAAAAGACAATAAACGCAAAGCAGAGGGGAGATTCATTTAAGTCCTTCGTAAAAACCAAATTGGTATGTAGGTGAGTATGTTGGTCGAGAATTTGTACAATTTGAGTTCACATAGAACATAGGTTTGATGGAAACTCGGAACTCTGGCTATCTGATGAGCCCCAAGAAGGGTGAAGTCGGTCGTGGGCAGACTTATATGTTAGTGTAGTGCATGAATGCGTTGTTCAGGTGAACTGAGCTATCAACAGTGCCGTAGTGAAAAGTTGTGGAAAGTAGAGGTTTCATGTTATAATTGAAGAAAATCTATGCTGAAAAGTATTGTGCAGCCTATCATCAACGAATCTCACGAAACTCAGGTAGTTTCGAACCAACAGCCTCCGGTTAGTGGTTGCAGACTACGGCCTTCAGGCACTGGTGGCTGATCAGCAGTATGAGTAGCTCGCACTTACGATACAGTGCCCCTTCATTCACGGAAACCACATCACGTGGTCATATATCGCCTGGCTCTTCGAATGAATGCCCACTTTCCGTGAGAATTACTCTTCCTTCTGAGCTATTTGTAGTTCGTTGGTAGGATAAGAATAAGAATATTTGAGATTTCGTCTCGTTAATCATATTCACGATGAGTGAACATTCGTTTAAGAAGTCTAAACTGAACGAGAAAGTCAGCACGTAACCAGTTCATGTAGATTCCGTGACTGAAACAAGTTGGGGTTAACCATTCCACTGATCAACAACTTGTAGACAACAGGACAAACTCTCTAGTGTTCTCCACACTGAGAACAGTATCCAGCGGATTAGAAAAGTTTTGGAATCGATGGTGAGGTCGCCGTATCCGATGGGCTTGGTAAACAATCGGTAGTTTTTATTTGGACAACATTTCGCCTTTGACACAAAAGATTCATCAGGCCAAGTGAACAGGTCACTAAGTTGGCTAGGTTTCAAGGCGGACGGTGTCAGTGTTGAGTGTTTATTAACGGGTGCTTGTTAAAATCTCGAATTGATGGGTTGGAGCAGAATCAAATTAGTTCCGATTGGCTCTTGATCCTTAATCTTCAACTTCAGGGTGCTTCAATTGATGATTCATCTCGGATGCCACAGGTAGATGTTCCTTGGTTTTCGTGGGCTTGCGAGTGTTTGGACGATTTAGTGGGGAGAAGGGGGCAGGTAAGGTTAAGTGAAATTCAAACGATGACCACTCCTTCTTCTGATAATCGCACACCAACACGTGTTTGCTCGATTGATCCAAGACCATTCTCCACACGCTTGCCAGTTCCACGCCTTCTATTCTGTTAACACTAGGATGCTTGACGATTTCTACCGCCTCGGCCATCGGCCTCTGTGACGTGGACCGTAGTTCCCACTTCAAAACCTCAACACTTTCTAAATCTATTTTGTGCGGTGCGTGTTCCGTACTTACCGAGTCTTTCAGTAACGCTTGATATTCGTCCACGTTTCTCGGCGGCCTGTTTATTTTTCTCCTATGCTCTCCGATTCTCATGTGAAGTTCCCTGGCCATCTGTCCAATATAGATCTTAGTGCAACCGTTACACCTAATTTTGTAGACACAGTCCCTGGTTCTGTTTGCCGGGGGGCCATGCGTCAATTGTAGCAGTACAGAGCACAGTGTTCTCCCTCTGGAAAGCTGCTGTTATGTTAGCCGTGTTTAGGACTCTTCGAATAACCTCCTATGTCCCTGATTTATATAGAATAACAGCCGTCCCGATCCATTCCCTGTTGGGTTTCAATACCGGTAGGAACACCCTTCGCAACTGACGCCTTATCAAGCTAGCTGGATATCCACTACCCCGAAGTTTTTTCTTTACTTCGAATTGGGCCACTCTCCGTCAGCTTCTTGTTTTCACAGGGCCCTTACACGCCTAAATACTGATGAGGCAATGCTGGCGAATAACGAATCCGGATGAGCAGGCGAGTAGTTCAAAAGTACCCAGTTTTTGTTTGCTTACCCCAGACCCTGTGTATCATGCAGTTTAAAAAGGCCAATGTACCTGAGGTTGACTCTATGTCCATACTACATTTGATGTGTGGACTCAGTTCATTCAGGTAGCCGTAAAACTCACTAACCTTGTCTCGTTTCATCACGACGAGTGTCATCTACATACCGTCAAAATATCTTTGGTGAGATTCAGGCATGCTTTTATGCCTTCCACTACGCACCCTCATTAAATTATTCCTTCAGTTGAATCACGTCCATCCATTCGACCAGTCTGGCACAAACGGCAACGTCAACAAGGATGAAACACCTTGAGGTGATCCAGTTGACCAATGCACACGCCGGTTTGAGGACGGCAGTCACGCAAGAACTATAGGTAAGAAGCCGTTCAAAATGTATAATGACGTGAAAGTTGCGAATGATTTGCCTGATGCGGCGAGGCACTTATCGGCCAGACGACCATCAGGAGATTTTGTTCACACACAAGCATTAACTTTCCGACCGTGTGTCACACCGCTCGATTCAGGATGGCTAATGGATGGCAGACACACGGTAGACACTACGGCAGACACGGTGGAGAGACGGTCACCTTATTTCAGGCATCGATCCATGTTAGACCAATCACGACACGGCACGCGTTACGTTGGGCATGAGGTCACAGGGTCGGCAACACGGACCCCTCTTGTGAATGCCTGATTGGCCGAATTTTCCTGGCGTGTGATTGGTTGTTTACCTGATAAGATTGGAAGCCGAGGCATTTGGTGTGCATTGCACGCCTTGCACGTGGATTTTTCTTTGTTTAGTCACCTCTAGGTGACCGCGGTGCTGCATCAGTGAGTCCACTGTTTTGAATCGACATCGATATTACTTGTGCAGGCTAGAGCATTCCGCTCCTTTAGCCGGTCTTGTTATGCAGCGCACTCATTCCGTAGCCTGTTAGTTGACGGGAAATTTATTTTACCAGGCATTTGTATGCTTGATTCACCTTACAAGTCATTGTGTCGCATACTCTGTAATCAAAATCAAATCTTGAAGTCATTGTGTCGCATACTCTGTAATCAAATCTTGGTCCTTCAAGCATCTGAGGTACGAATCCCTGCATGCTCCACTAGAATTCCGCGTGTTTTGTCCACGTAATTGACGCTAAATTGATAATTCCAAATCCTTTGATTCTCTGGATTATTTTGCAGCCTTTCTACAGCCGTTAGATGACCCAAAAAGAGAGCAGTTTTCTGACTTAACCGTCCCTGTTACCCAGATTAGAGCGAGTGTTTTCTGCAACCAATGACTCTAGTGGTTACGTTCGTAAAAGGGTCTAAAATTTAAGCTCGTCATTTTATGACTGTTTCTCCTGGAAGGCCCAACTTCATCTCTGACTCAAAGTTTGTATACAGCCACACCTTAAAGTGGGCCTGTGTTTAGTTATAGTTTGAACACACACAGCAATACATTACAAGGGAAACGAATTTCGACAGTTGTCCCAATCAAGGCCAATTAATGGCCCTGAGAGAGCTGCGAAAAACTGGGTGTTCACTGCTTCGAAACGACCAACGTTCCGTGGTTGCAAAGGAAACATGGAAACATCAAGTAATATTTACAGGAGATAGTCGTTTTTTAGGTGAGCGATGATGAAAAGGCAGAGTACAATGATCGAAAGCTCGCAGAGCATCATCAGTGCTGACTTTCGATTTCATGTTAGACCAACAGGCAGTCATATTTTATGTTCGCAGGATCTGCCTGAAGATGTGGATTATGTATCTGGCTACCACATATACCCACTGCAGTATAATTATGCCACATTTCTGCGCTACAGATCCCGCGACCATTCACGACATTTCCCCATACGTGCGTAGTTTGAACCCAACGTCTGCGTCACGGCTGCTTTAGTATGGGCTTGGATAACCTGGCAGTATCTCACTCCGCGTGCTTCCTTTGGGTGGCATGGCAGTTAGGCACCGAAAAGTGTGTTACGGCAGCGTAGCATCAATGTGGAACACTGATATTATGCTGTCGATGATGATGACGACTAAAACGACCATTATCATCTCCTTAGGACTTTTCACTGAATGCTTCATCAGTCGACTCACAACACGGCTTTGCATATACTGTATCGCGTATTTTCACGCATCGTGCGTTCACAACGAAATGGAACGAATGCTTATGTTGGTACGGAATGGCTATATAGACTCCTATCAGCTACACCTGGGGAAGAAATTGCAGCGCTGATTGTGAAAAGGTGCTTACTGTGATATAAACATTCCTCCTACTAGGCTCCTCTTCTGTATTCTTGCATGTCATACACCGGAAAATGTGCATCACCATCGGATCTACACGGCAACACTTAGAGCATTCGCTTGGAACGTGTGGCTCAATCCTTCGTTTCTTAGAGAACCAATATATGCTATCATGAACAACTGCAAATTGTCGACCGTTGATATCTGATGAAAGAGAATCAAACCTGCTTCGATTGTGACTATCTGAAAATCCAGCCATTAGGCCGTTGACTAGACAAGATTTCCCTCTTGTCCTTGGCGATGAGAGGGGGACTGGAGGGACTATGGGGACTGTCGTATAGTATTCAGAAGCTCCGTGACACCGTGCTGTGAAGACGACAATTTAATGAAACCCTCCCGAATGTTCTAGTGTACCATCAGTCGGCTTAGAATTTAGCGAAACTAGCTTTCTTACTATCTGTGATCTCGTTTATCAGTCGGGACGAAATTCAGAATGTAAGGGGACTGGAGATGAGTCGGTATTTTTTCGGAATTTCAAGCCATTGGAGAAAGAGTTGATCTGTCGTTTTAGTGGTGAACCCAGTCGTGGTCTTTTTTCAACGCGCTCTGAAATAATCCTACGTTCACTCGGATAACCAAAAGGTCGGGCCCGTCCCATAAAATGCCGAAGAAGCAATTGTTTTCAGCCTTGGCCTTGGTGACACCTAGGGCTTGTCGAAACCACTCGACTTAATTTTCTCCCACAGACCAGTCCTTCGGACATTACAGCAATTGTCCCCAGTCTTAATGAGCTTTATTTAGAAACCTTATGATGGATAACTCATGGTTGTATCAGGTACAACTGAAATTTTGGTCGATTATGAGAAAATCCGAAATTGGTCGTCTTCACAGTGAACGAGTTTTCGGCATTTTCCAGCAAATAAGTGAGAGAGAGAGAGAAAGAGATGAAAAACTGGGTTACGACCTATGGAAAACAGCATCATAACGTCTTACATTCTTGGGAAAAACTTATCAGCTGGTTGGTCTCACTGTCAGAACTTCCATTTTATTTGGTCGCCCATGCACTTGGTCCACCCTTGACAAAAGTGTCACTTCACGGCAACACACAACGAAGTAGTAACGTTTAGACATTTATTATAGCTTCATTGTGGTCCTTCCGAAAGAACGAGTCCTTACCTGCAGTAGACGATTTTGCCTTACCAAGGTGGCATCCATTTGCAAAAGACACCAAACTAACTAACTAACTAGACAGTTCTAGTGTTATGTTTCTAATAAGAACTTGCGACTGACCCTTGAGTAAATGACCAGTTAGTCATCCTGAGTTTACTTTTCCTCTTTCTACGCCATGCCGCTAGATAGATCATATAAATCACTAAGGGTGATATACTGTCAGACACGCATTGAGAGATCGTGAGCGGAGTTCAACAGTTCAATCAACGGACCCATTCAGTCAAAGGGCGTCGTTTAACCTTCCGTTCTCATTTACACACTTCCCCTTTGGTACGGTATTCAGATTACGATAAATCACAGGTACATTTGTTTGGAGTCTTTAAAAGTCGGCGACCACTTGCACTCAATGAAAAATTTGGCTGTGTTCCAATTGAACACTGGCGCTCCGGTTATGAATTAGTCCCATGTTCTAGTTCCCATCACGGATTCGGTAATTTTTACGTTTTTTGAGTTCATTCTAGTTAACGACATCCCAGGTCTCCTAACGGATGAAATGACTCATGTATGACAGTCAATGATGGTGATGACCAAAATGTCCACGATCAACGGATCTCTTCTAGTGGTTGGATGTAGTAATTTGTAACCATCCCGTGCAACAAGGAGATGGATCGTCTCTTCCCAACGAGTCGTTTGACTTAATGGGATAGTTCCTAGTATTTCCTATTTAGCTGATAATGTTGCAGAATTTGCAGCTATCTCCCGTTGGAGCGGTTCGCTGTTTGATCCCGTGACAAATTTCAAGATTCCTTCAACTTCTTTAGTCGACTTAGCCGCATTGTGCATCCAGTTTGCTCGTTTAGATGGACGTGCAAATTATGAGATGCTGGCCTACAAAATGGGACCTGGTGCAAGTCCTGTTTTATGTGCTAGAAGCTCACAGGAAGCCGAACTCACATCCCTGCATGTGAAAGCGTGCCCCCATATGTTACTCCCTCAGATTTTCACTCATCGTTGCGCTCCGAGTCACCAGCGTTATCGAAAAGCAGCTCTCTGTTCAGACTGCATGGTTCACGTACTTGAATGTCCGATAGGTCGTGGGTCAGAATGGATTTAGGATTTATCTAACACTATAGCTAATCGATGATACAGATGGCTTTTTAGCGCGTCGCATTGTCCGCTAATTACTCCGTTAGTGAGCTCATTGATCGCTGCTCATAACCTGTATATTTACGTCTACTATTGTTCCACTTTGCCGATAGTGTGTAACAGACATGGACTGGGTCGGATTTATTCTTTGCCAAAGTGTTCGAATTATTTGCGCGGTTTTTTTGAAGTCCCTTAGAAAGGACACTCCATGGTGATTGTAGTGTTATAAAATTTGCTGTCGTGCGGAGGACCGCAGTTGGGAGTACTGGGGTACTGGCAGGTCGCCAAAGTGTAGACAGGATAATACGCACTTACTGAACTGGTCTTGGCAACTGCAAAGCTCTGTCCAAAACCTCAGCTGATTGCCGAGATGGAATGACTGCAAACAGGCCCTCGAGGGTAGCGCAGTAACATAAGTGGAGCGATTGTCATGTCGTATACCAGTTGTTATGACTGAAAAAGGATTGATTTATTCCGTCGTTCTACACAGAGAGCTTTGCAACGGTTGGGGTTTTAGTTTTGTTATTTTGGAGCATTATGACGAAAGTCATGATAAACAAGTGAAATGCTCTCACATGCAGTGTATTTTTTATGACGTGATCGCGCCTGATGGTTTCCCGTGAACGGATGACGGCAACATCGACCCTATCCACGTGGTTTGTATTTACTTGGTCACGTGAGTAGGATATGCTTCCGCCACTGGACTGTTTGACCTCACATCTGGCGCAGCGTAATGTTCATTTCAAAAAACCGTGTTCACTGTTATTTTAACCGAGGGTCTCATCGGCCTGTGATTTCCCATTGCCGTCCAACCAGCTGGCAAACATTGGACTGTACGCTGTTCGTGTCAGCATGCATTAAGGACAGTTTTCGGCTGACCTTCACACCAACTCCCCACAGATGGACTAGCTTTGTTCCCCACACGTCCATTATTCCTTTCATCGATTGATTCATAGGCAGCTGCCGGCAGAGCCAATCACATGTCGGATAGATCGATGGCTCTGAACCAGTCCTTGTTCCTTCCTAAGTTAGTAGGCTGTAATGTTACCTGCTGCGATCTGCTTCATCTCAGTGGGAGAAGCTGGATTAGTTTGTGTGCATAAGGCAGATTTCCGCGTGTTTTCCTCCTAGTTAGATGTTGAATACGAATACAGATGATCCCAATAGATGATAATACATTTCACCGGTTGGAAAGTGAAACTCGAATTTCAGATCCACCCGGATGTCCAGCCTTGAGTAAACATCCAGCCCGATGTGAAATGAAAACCGGTTTGCTGATTTTT